GGGTCCAACCCGTTACTAGCATGGGGTACCTAATAAAGTGGCCGGTGAGTGTATGTTCGAGCTCATTTTTGGAAAATACAAAAACCTAATGAAAGCGTTCGTGTCGAGTGTCCCGACTAATTTTCATCACAAAGTTACACCCTTGATCACACCCTTTGAAAGCAGTCACATTTATTTATCTGTTCATACACATTTTGAAAAGCAGCTTGTTGTGCTTTAGCAGAAGATAAGATTTTCTATGGGATTCCCACAAGGCTTACTAAAAAATAAATACAAGACAAAGTGATCCACAACTCGAAAATATACAAAGGTCTGAAATCAATGTAAACTTTGAAAACATCATTTTTTTTTACATTAGAGACAAATAGATAACCTTTGTGATTTTTAAGAACAGTTCATGTATTTACAGGTTTGTACACAAAATAGAGAGGAATCCCCTTCTCCCAAACACACATACAGTACTGTTTATGTAGGTTTAACTGATGTCCAATTTTTAATGCATTTAGTACCATAAGCTGTGACCCTGCTTTAGTACTACTCTGTGTTTCAGTCAAGTAACAAGAGAGGAATAAAACAGTCCAATGCCTCAAAACAGGTCCTGCACATGTCCTTCAGCCTTTGGCAGAAGCAGCTATACTACTCCACTCTTACATTGTGTTAAGTGTGAGAAAATGATCAAGGAAGAGCTTACCCGCTGAGTGGAAGGGTCTATAAATATATTCAGGTAAAGCGTACAGCTAGGGACAAATGAAACCTCACAAACATTTCATCATCAGTGCAAAAAAAAGGGAAAAATGCTGGAATGAAAATTGAGAGGCTTATCTCACTGTGTTCCCTGTTATGTGAAAAGTACGGAGTGTCATTAAGGCCAAAATCTACCTACACCGACGCTCATTATGTCAGCTTTGCATACCTGCTATAGCTTATAGCTATTTGAATCATGTATTGTTTATATTTGATCTCAATACTTGGAAGTCACTTTTCGCCTTGCTTCCGCAACCAGCATGTAGAAAAGACTGAAACGTATTGCTGAGAAAGAAATAGATATCTAGATAAAATTTGCTTTTAAAATTGTGTTAAAATGTCACTTTTTAATTTGTCAGAATGTATTAAAAAAGTAAACAGATCAGTGGGCCATCCGTCTAGTATAAAAATATATATTTCAGTTTTTATTATAGAAAATAGCGGTGAATTATTTCATGGGGCGGTGAGGTGCGAAGCAGCAAACCTTAAACTGCTTCAGATCGTTCTTTATACATCCTCCACTTAGAAAACAGAAAAATTGTCACCAGGGAAACTTTTCGTCACTTATTGTTTCCCGTCGAGTCAAGTAAGGCTTATTTGATCCTACTGAGCACTTTCCACTCGCCTCTTTCGACTATTCAAAAACATGCCACACATCATCCGCCACAAACGGCCGCCGTTTTTAAAACAAATGACCTTCTCATTGTATCTCCCTGCACTGCGATTCAGACGCCTCCAGCTTTTTGAGCACTTTTTCATGTCCTGTGATATCACCTGCATCTTTCTGGTCTCCACATATTGTGTTTGGATCACTGGTAACTATCATTTCATGACTAAAATGTCGTAACAAGCAGCTGCCTTTTCATTTTAAGTATTACTAGTTTTAGGAAGTTGAAATAAGGTATTCTGACTACTGTTACTAGCAATATGAACGGAAAGATGGGAAGATAAGTTCTGTGAAGCAGGTTGTGATGTCCTGATGGGCAGGGAAGAGTAACACTACTGTCACAAGTGGCTTAAGGAAATATACAAGTTGTGTGTCTTGTTTGCATAGGTATTCACAGAATACATAAACAATCTCCACCTGTAGGAAATAAAATGAAGGTTAGATATTATGCATATTTTTTATATGAAGAAGGGGATGTGCTGTCTTAAAGTAAGGCAGTCTGACAGGTCGGGTTTACATGGCTACAACTAACCCCAAAAAACAAACAATTGCTTTAAAACTAGAGATGCACCGAGACAGTTTTCAGCTTATCTACGATTGGCTTTGATCTGTAACTAGGAGGTTGATAGCCTGACGTAGTCCGACTCAATTCTAGTCAGAATATGAGTCTGATGCTGCTCCATAGAGCTGTGATTATGGGGCGTGTTTCGAACGAACCAGGAAAAAAAATGCCTCTGCACTCAATTGGATAGACCTACAACCAATAAGAGCAACGGAGTGCGTGACGTATGTTAAGCGACTCATAGTTGTTGTCAACAAAAATCAAAGCGTGCAGCTTCACGCCTAGAATAAGAAGATGAGCCTTGATCGCGTTTCTCTGTTCCTCTTTTAAAATTAATTTGCTGTCGATATCTTCTAGAACAGACCTAATAGCAGAATCTACTCACCCCAACTCTCCAGCGGCAGCCATTGTTGTTGTCACCCAAGCGCGCTTTGGTCACGTGGTTGATTACGTTACTGTTGATCATCTGTCCATCATCGTATAAAGCCCGCCCTGACAATTTGATTGGCCCGCCAGATATTGTGCTAGCATACTAGCGCTACTGTTGAGCAATGCCAGACCGAACTTCCCGACCTCAAACGTTGTGGGCGGGACTAAGGTCGGAATGGCACCCAGGCCAGGAGGTTGATGCCATTAGAAAGAAAATCATCCAAGCTCTGTAACTTCTCGCTGGTTCAAGAGCTAGGATGACTTTGGGCTACTGTATAAAACCTTGAACTCAACGCAGTTCCTGACGTTTTGAGTTGAAAAAGCTTCTTGGATGGGAAGCGAAACGTCTTCAAACTTGGAAACTATGTCCAGTGGATTGTTTTTAATTTTCTTTTTTTTTCTATTCTCGCTGGTCAATAGCAGAACTTTCCAGATTTTAAAATGTGGCAAAATCTCTAGAAAGTAAAAACTCTGCCTTGTTTTCCTTCATCCTGTTCACTTAACCAGGTGACCAGTCTGTGCTGTGGACCTGGAAATGCAAATAGTTGGAGTTTAATCTCTGTACAGGCTTTTTACTATCTGATCCTGGATTATCCACCTCTGCTCTAGATGGATAGAGGTGTTATTGATGCTAGCTGTGCGAAGCATGCTAACTTTCTTCAAACTTGAAGCTTTTAAATAGGAAATTGCAGTCAAACAAAATCATTATCAACATGCAAAAACTGGGAATTGGTGCATCTCTGCTCTAAAGAATTAGTTTGGATATTTTAGAATGGATATTTTGAGTTCAGATGGGATACCTTTTTTAAATAAATGCATTTCATAGTAATAGGGATTCTATTTTGTATAAAACAGGTACAGTTTGTGGACAGAATTGTAAACTGGAAAGTATTTAAAAACTGACCCAAAAATTGCTAGAAATCTGATTAAGTTTTTATAAAAATGGCCCAACCTATTCTTCTGCATATTTGGTACAGTTATATATTAGATTTCATTATAGTCCATTAGTCCTCAATGTAAACGTGTCCGTTTCTTCTTCCTAAGCTCCGCCTCCTACGTGGAGCCGTCATCGTGAGGGCTTCCATCAGAGTTCTCCGTCTCACCCTCAGATATGGCCTGCATGGGCGATGAGTACAGCCTGCTGCGCACGCTGTAACGGCTGCTGCTGGCGGGCGGGGGGATTCTCGAGCGCCCCTGCCTGGAAGAGGCGGATGTGAGGAAGGGTCTTGGTGAGAAGCTCTCAGCGTTGGCTTTGGGGTATGGGCTGGACAGCTGATCGTGTTCTAGCAGGAGCTGCTGCAGGGGGGAGAGAGGTTCTTCTGACGGTTTGGGAGACTCGGTCAGAAAATCTCCAGGTGATTTCGGAGTGATGGGGCTCTTCAGGATCTCAGCAGCTGACATGCGGTAACTGGAGTCTGAGCGGCTCCCCTTTTTCAGCAGCAGCAGTTTAAACTCCTCGTTGGAGGTGCTGGACTTCTTTAAATTCCTGTAGATTGGCCCCGAGACTCTGTGTGAGGCGGGTGGGGTTAAAGCGGGGGAGGGCGAAGCCACAGAGACCGGGGAGCTGACACTGCTGCTGGGCGGCGTGTTCCCCGACGAGGCGCAGAGGCGGGGCCTCCCAGCCAGCTCGGTGGAGTCCTTCCTCCCCAACACTTTCCTTTTGGACCTACAGATGATGCCGATCATTAGAAACGTTACGTAAACACAGACTGAGCAATCAGAGAGGATCTAACCTCAGCCTCACCTGTGAATCATAGCAAACAGATCCTCGGTGGTGCGGGACTTGCTGGGGGACAGAAACACACTATCATCCTCTTTCTTTGACTCATGTTGTGAAGACACTGAGTTATCACTCGCTGTGGAGTCTGTAAAGAAACATTGAGGCCTTTTAATGCTCTGGTCATTAGTTCACTACATCAAAAATTACCTTTAAGGTCAACATCAGAAATGTTTTCACATATAAAAGCCTTTTTATCTCTACCTGTATTAAATGTCTAATAAGTTTCCACTGAAGAAAGCATCTCCACAGCATCATGGAGCCATTTCCATGCTTTACCCTAGAAATGTCATGTTTAGGATGATCTTAACTGCTCAAGTAGAAGGTAACTGGATTCTTTTTGTGCGTGGGGTCACTTAAGGATCAGTAAGAACACGAGTCATCAGACATTCCCTCGATTTAGTCACTGTTACTTGATGATGTAAACATTTCTAACAGTTCATGTGAGTTGCTTTGGTCTCATGTCACAAGCTTATATATATATATATATATATATATAGGTGTATGAAAAAAAATAAACTGGGGTAGAATATTTCTGGTGGTAAAAGCAGTTGTTAGAAGAAATCTCCACCTTTTCTGTTGCTTTTTAATGTTTCACTTGAATAACTTAATTCACTCTCAGGTCAAGTGTCCAAAGTGTGCAACTCTGACCATCAAAACTGCTCTGATGCAACAATCTCTTCCCTTCTCAGCCTGATTTTGCCCAAACGCTTCTTCTTTCTAATCCAATAAAGTTGCACAGTGATTTTTTTTTTGTTTTTGTTCCTCTGCTGTCATGGAGCTTCCGGTTAAGCGGCTGACATGTAGCTTTGTGGAGCATCCATAACAGCATTAACTGCAGCTGAGGCCCAAGTGACCTTTGCAGGCACTGATTCTCATTATGCTTTACATGCTTTAGCTCAAGTGCTTCTTAATTAACAAAGATTGTGAGTCATGGAAGCGACTGGGACAAGACAATGGTTTTATTTTTTCTCATGAATCTTGTCCTGCATGGTCAGCAACGTTATGTTCAACCCAGTTAACTATTCCTTAGTTTGAACCAACTTGTGTAATGATCTTTATATGGTGAAAATAACTTATATTTTAAATAAGCAGCATTTCTAATTACACAGAGTATAAATAGGAAAGTATAATGAAGCATAGTAAAGGAATTAAAGGCAAAAAAATTGCTATTATTGCATCAAATATTATTGAGCGCACATTATTACATATATAATTATTATATAAAGAATATGTTAAATAATTACATTTAATGACAGTAACTGTAGTAACTGATGATAAAAGACTTACTGATAATAAAACAATCCTCCGCCTCCTCTGTGGATTCCTCTTTACTGTCCTGTGAGGCACTTTCGGCTGAATCATTTTCCGCTTGGTTGCTGCCTTCGGTGCTGATGGAGCTCTCCTGGGACGTTTCCAGAGGACTGGGAGTAGAAGGCACTTTATCGGGACCCTTGGACCATTTGGGGGAGCTGTGTAACACTGGAGGGTAAGGGCATATTTCCGCTTCAGGTGGGTCGGTCTGCTGCTGCTGGCCTGAACCTTCTACATGTGGGATGGATTCTCCGGAGCAGACAGATGTTGATGGAGAGTCGGAGCGCCGCTCTGTTTCATGGACAGTTAGCGTGTTGGGGGTGATGCAATCCTTCTGGTCTAAACATGCTTCTAACTGCAGTCCGACAGCTGCCGCGCTTCCTGAGATTACCTCTCTGCCCTCGTCACTTGCTTCCCCTGAGAGCTTGTCATTTGAGACATGCATTGACTCACTTGAAGAAATATCATCATGTTGGGAATTGTGCAGTGAGGGACTCTTGAGATCTAAAGATTTATTGCTGGCTAAGTTCATAGAGGGACTCTGCAGGTCCTCAGGCTGCTTGCTGACGGGTCGAAGCTGAACTTTTTGAAGCACTGAGGGCGTTATAGACAGAGATGGTGCAGGGCAGGGCTCTAAGTTTGGCGAGGTACCGGGTTTGGTCGTAAGCACATCCTTTTGTTTGATTCGGTGATGGTTCTGTAAGTGGTTCCTGTAAGTTGGGTCCTTGTTGCTCGGACAGTGAAGGCTACTCAAGTCGAGGTGAGAAGGAGGAGTCATCGGCAGCTCTAGCTCTTTCTTTGAGGTTGCGACGTCCTTGCAGGAAAGAGACGAAAGTGAGGACTTCCTCTCTGGGACTTTGGGCTTTCTCTTCACATTGGCTGGTGACAGCGGTCCAGGGAAGAAAGTGGAGGGAAAGGAGGATGTGGGCGTTTCAGACTGACTGGAGTAGCCACTGGAGGGGCTCGCTAGTCCAGCCAGCTTCTCTGGGGAAGTCAACTTGTAATCACCTTCTACTGATGGAAGTGAGGGGGTGGTGGCTCTGGAGCCAGAACGGGAAGTCTGAGACTCTGAGCTTTCCTGGGACTTTATGCACTCGATTACAGTCGTACCTGTGGCTGTGCTGGAGTTTGATAGCGATCGGTACGGGTCACTGGACTTTAAATCATTCAGCAGCCAGAGATCTGCATAGTCTGACTGCACAGTTCCATTGTCTTTAAATGAACGTGCATCTTTGGAGCTTAAAAGGCCTAAATCAGTCAGATCGGATGTGCCCTCCATCCCCCAGACCTGGAGGGGCTCTCGCACCAGCAAAGAGTTTCCCATGTGGCCTTGTGATGCAGACAGAGGCAGCTGGATTTTCCTCTCCTTGGTGGACAGAGACAGCGGCTGCCTGTATGTACTCTTTGGTTCTCTCTTGTCAGGGATGTTTCCGTCGCTGCATATTTTCCTCAAGGAGGAGCTCCTCTTTGGCGGGGAGGGCTTCACCTTTGCTTTTCTTAAGGAGAGGCAGCGTCTTCCCAGCGTCAGGTTACCGCTTATATCAGACAGAGCGCAGTCTGAACCGGTGGGACCACAGCTGTAGGTGAAGCTTTTGCTGCCTTTTAGACCGCAGTCAAAGTGCATGGAGGTGTAGTAGCCCTCAGTGTCCACAGAGTAGTAAGAGACGGTATCTAATTTCTCTGATGGAGGTTTGTCAGAGAAGCTGCTCTCGCAGGTGGCCATGCTGGTGAAGCTGGGGCAGCCCAGGCTGCTATCCGCCTCCCTGCCTGGTTCAGGGCTAAAATCCTGAGAGCGAGAGGGTTCTGCGCTCTGGTAATCCCACTCCTCTTCCACTGGTGTACTCACTCCTACCTCCTCTAATATATCCATAGCTGCTGAGGAGAAAGAGCCTGCTCGATGGGTTCTGAGGCCCTGGTAGCTGTCCAGCATGAAGCTGGTCTGGTCTTCTGCAGCATGAGGGGCAGCATTAAGGGACAATTCAGAGTCACAGTGCGAGGAGCCAGTCAGGGGAGGGGAGGCAGCAGGGGGGATTGTTTCTGAGGTCTGGGAGGGGCAGGTGGAGCTGCTCCCGCTCCAGTTCCCACTGGACGATTGGTGGTCGTCCTTATGGTCCATCTGGCTTCCCAGAACGCCTGCAGCTGAGACGCAGTGAACAGGGCTGCTGAAGGTGTCCGAGCTGGATGAGATCTCACAGCTGCCCATGTCAGCTTTCCTGGGCAGCTGAGCTCTGGCGCGCTCCATCCAGCTGCACTCCGGACTGTCCGACAGCTGCGTGTACTTCAATCCCCCCAGCTGACGCTGGGACACAGCCTGGTCATCCGTGCCCTCTTCCTCCTCCTTTAGAACCAACTCACCGCGTCCAGGAAGGAACGCCTCGGAGTTAAAGGGGGCCAGCTCCTCTTCCTCATCGCTGTCATTATGCTCATTGTCCATCATCATCATCCTCATCCTGCTGCTTTCTCGGGGCAGACTCCGCGACCGCAGTCGGTCTCCCACGGAGCCAGAAAACATGGCTTCAGGGCTGTCAGGCAGGCAGGAGATGTTGCCTGCTGAGTAGGACAGCAGGAGTGATGCTCCCTGACCTCTTTGGACCCTGATCCTCCTTCGAGACGGCGCACCCGAGGAAAGGAAGTCTTCAGTCTGGCAACCTGAATCTCTGGTGGTCAGATGACTGGACAGCTGTGCAGTAGAAGGAGTTATATCAGCAGTGGTGTGAACAATAACTGTCCGCTCCCTGGAGCCAGGGGAGTCATCAGAGTCTGGGGAGGAAAGGAGGACAATTTAAGTAAGAGAGTTACAGAAACAATCTATCTCATTTCAGAACATCTTTAATTCGTTTTTAACTTAAAATAAATATATAAAATAAAAGGTGTGTGTTAAAGAATGCCATAGACGACTTGAGTTTTATGTTAGGTACATGTACTTGTATTAGAGAGTTAGATTTAAAACATCCATATATTCCAAAAGGTTTTTTTTTGATAGACGACAACAAAGTTTATTATTAGTGTAAAGTAAAGGGGGAGGATACACGGTTTGTATTTGACTGTCCTTTTTATATAAGTTGGACAAAATTCAAATGTAGTTAAAATGAGTTAAAATTTGTAAAGTGTCTTAAGATAATGATTATTTGACCAGATCAAAACCTGTCATTTTCACATCTCTGATGTTCACTGCAAAAACCATCTAGATTTAAGTCTTAAAAATTCTTAAATTAGGTGTATTTACCCTTAATTTTAGCTGATAAATAAAATTATTTGCCAATGGAATTAGTATTCTTACGCCTAAAAAAAAAAGATAATTAGGTAATATGCACTTGAAATAAGACAAATGTAAATGGTCTTGTTCCATTGGCAAAGTGTGTCACTTATCTCCTCAATTTAATAAAAAATGCAATTAATTTAATCAAAAATAAATAATTTAGATTTCCATTTTTTTGCAGTGTTGCTGCTATTTTCAAATATCCGTTACTGGAAAAATGTCCATAGTTGTATATTGGTTTTCTATTCTACAGGTTAAAAGTTTTTATATTGATAAAACACTTTACAGTACAGTATTTTATTGTTCATCTTTTAACTTATGTTATTCCTATACATTTTTCTTAGGTCCATATTTGTGACAATTTTTTCTATAATTGCTGCTGTAAACACCAGAATTTCCCCATTGTGGGACAATAAAGGGATTTTCTATTCTATTCTATGCAATGCAATGCAGAACAGGGCAATAGAGGACAGTTACAGGTCCTGTCTATAGAAAAGAGCATCCCCCCAGCAAAACATGGTGGTGACAGAATTATGATGTGGGGATGAAATCTTTAGATTGGATGGAGCTGGTGAGAGTTAATGGGAGGATAGTGGAAAAACCTAATAGAAGCTGTAGAACCAGAAACTCAAGCTTTCAGGAGGACAAAGCTGGTAAAAATTTCCAGCCATTCCAGAAATTTCAACCAAATAAGTATCTGAGAACTTTTTACTTAGTAGGACTGAATAAAAAACAAAAAACAACAAAAAAAACATCCATATTTTAAGATATTTGTGCATTTTTGTAAAGATCTGTAAAACATAAAAACTTAACATAGGCTTTAAATTCACACAACTGAGCTAAAAATCACCAAAAAATATAAAATATATGAAGGTCCTAGTTGTAAAATGAAAATATAGGGTCCATGGGGTAAGAAAGATGCTAGACGCCTCAAATAACACAACTTGACATGTATTAGAGTTATAGCGCTAGAGTTAAATAAGATACTTACCAAAATCCTGCACCTGTCTGGGAACACCGGCGACTGTCCTCCGTCTCCTCAGCTTCCGTCTCCTCTGAAGCAAAGACTGGGAGTGAACGAGTGAGCAGCGCACACTAGCATCTCTGTCAAAGCCAACCCCTGCAGCGGAGACAGGACATCTGAGGAATCTTTGTTGGGTTTGCAAATGCAAAGAATCCTTTCTAACTCTCATGCTGTCACATAAAACGACAACATTTAAATAAATATAGAGAATGACTGAACTAAATACGGTGCTGTACAAAAATAGCAGAGACTGTCAAGAGATCTGAAAGGACATAAAGCCACAGTAGCTGCTTAGACTCAGAATTAGAGTTTTCGGCTATTTGCTTTAGAGCTATAACATTATGATAGGTATGAAAAGAAATGGTAAAATAAAACATTTAAAATGAAGAAAAAAGCAATGCACATTAGTAAATGCATTCGCTGAAAACTTCTGCTTAAGTTTACCAGCTAATCTTCCTGCCGCCCTTCTATCCCATTATGACCATCATGTGACAACAAGTTGGGTCTTTCAGCACCATAGCAATTGCAGAACTCTGCTTACAATGTGCATTTTTTTACCCTCAACTGTCTCCGATTCTGCCCATGTCGCCACACAGCTCCCCTTTTCAGTCAGTGAGAGCGAGAGTAAATAACATCAAGCAGATCTTTTTAACCACTTGAACAAAACTAATTGCCATTCATGTCACAGCGCTGGGCCTCTTCACAATTCAAAAAAGTGTCAAAGCTTGGGAAACAGGGTTCACCCAGAAGAAAGCATGACTCGGACGTTTAAAATTACTGCCTGTAAAGGCACATTCCGCTACCAAGAATAAAACGTTTGTTTTAAAATGAGTTTTTTTTCTGATTTAATGAAAAATAACTTAAAATCTTTATCTTAATGGGAGAAAAGTTGTCATATATTGACAAATTATGTGACATTTTATAGGTTAGCTTCATCTCTTATAGCATAACTAGAAGTGCTTTATGTGATAGTTTCAAGTTTTAAATTCTACTTATTTTTTTGAGTGATATGACAAGATTATGACCAATTTAATGTAAAAGACGACGTTCTAAAGGGCACTTTTTAACTTTAGCGTAGTGTGGCTATTTCAGCTAGCTCCTCTATAATACTCTGCTAATCTTTGGTCAATTTCAGAACTCATTTGAGTTTTGAATTTGATCAGAAAAAATGTTTTTTTTTTAAATCCTTTTTTCATTTTGTGCCACAGGGTAATATGGTAGATAAAACATTTGTATACTAAGTTAACTTTGTTAGAGAAACAACATGGTTAAGAAGGCTAACATAAAAACTAGCATTAAGATCTGAAGTTGGAAAATTCTGGAAATTTTCCTCTACACTGGAAAAAAATCTAAATCTAGATAAGTCATTTTTTCTTAAAATAGGTACATTTGTTCTTAAATTGAGAAGGTAAGAGACATTTTGCCATAAGAACAAGACAATTTACATTTAAAATAAGAATTGCATTGTCTTATTTCAAGTGCATTTTATCTAAATATCTTATTTTAAGATGAAAAATACTCATTACGTTGGCAAATCATCTCATTTACCTACTCAAATTAAGGGTAAATACACTTTATTTAGGAAATCTTTACTTATTTCTGGATAGTTTTTCTAGTGTAGCTTTTCTAGAACCTTTCAGTATGCTTAAACAACATTCAGAAAAGCAAGCAAAAATAAACTAAGCAAAAATAAACTAAGGTTTATATCTTTTTTTTTAAAGAATGTAGCCTTTTGTTTTTTTTAAACCAAATATTGGTAAATATTATGATAATTAATTAAATAACCCATGTTTTCTCTTTTCTAGGTGCACAAAAATAACATTAGGCCTTCTATTTTCAGTTGCTACCTTATAATGTAGCTGCAGGAAATCAGGAAATTGAACTGCAATCATGCAAAAAGTTTTTTTTCAACATTTTCTGCTTTCATTTACTTAAAAACAACGGCTTCTCTGCAGCTTCTCCAGCTTTCTGCAGTCACACTGCTTTTATCTAAGATTTCTTTTTTATATTTTAAAATGTGTTTTAATATCCTTAAGCATAACCAGAGATGGGAAATAACAAAGTACAAATACTTCGTTACTGTACTCAAGTAGATTTTTCTGATATTTTTACTTTACTACTTATTTTTATGGCGACTTTTTACTTCTACTCCTTACATTTTTACACAAATATCTGTACTTTCTACTCCTTACATTTAAAAAAATTGTCTCGTTACTTTAGTTTTGAATCATTTCAATGGAGTTACCGTAATTATTTTTCACGTCATCAATACCAAATTCAGTCTAATTGGATGGGAATCTACGTTGCATTTGACGCACCACTACAAGATGAATCGACAGATTCGGCGGTATTCATTGGCGGCAAATCATTGCAGCTTGGTGGCGGTGGCGTTAGCATAGTAGCATGGACGACGAGATGATTGAAAATGAACACAACGGAGATCTAGTCCTATTGGCAGACATCCATTTAAAATGTAGGCAACGGCATGAAAAAAGTGGTTTCTACTTTTACTTTTATACTTTAAGTAAATTTACAAGCCTGTACTTTGTTACTTTTACTTGAGTAAAGAAGTTTAATCAGTACTTCCACTTTTACCAGAGTATTTTTTAACACAAGTATCTGTACTTTTACTCAAGTACGGAAAGTGAGTACTTTTGCCATCTCTGAGCATAACTCATAAAAAATGTTTTAAGTTTTCTTGAAGATAGGTTCCAGTGCTCTGCCTTTACCTACAGTTACAGATGGAAACGAAAACATTTGATGAATCCAATTTACCGGTCACATTAATAGGAATGATGCATGAGGCGATGACTTGGGTGCTGCATTTCATTCTCTCCTCTGGGGTGGGCAGCGGCAGAGCTTTAGACCAGTTAGTCTGCTTGTCCAGGGTGGAGGGGGTGTTAGGGATGGGAAACTTTGACCGGTGACCTAGAGCCACCCCGTCAGTGTCGGGGTCAGTAGGCGCAGCCTGCAACAGATGGATATTTGCATGGTTAGACTGTTATGGTGAGATTACATGGAAAGAAGGGAGTTAAAGAGAAAATAAAACTCAGCTTCAGATAGGGTAATGTGTAGCATAAAGTGGATACATTTAGAGACTTTCTCAGTTTATGGTTCTCAAACTGGTTCATATATAGTGTTAATTGGGCTGCCTTAGTGGCAGTATCAATTATTTGCAAGTATATAAACTAAATTAAAGGTTTTTGACACACGTCCTCATTTAATTGTTTTTCTTTATTTCTATTACTACCTCTGGGAGCTCATTCAAGATTGGGAAAATCATCTCATATGAATCACCGATGAAGGTCATTAAAGACACCATAAAAGAAAACAGGTTGTTTTGAAGAATCTAACAAACAAAAGATGCCTTAAGGTTTGTTTTTTTTACACTTTTGGATCTATTTTTGACTTGCAAAGTTTTCTCAAAGGAGAGGAGCAAAGAGAATTAGAGATCCCAGTACAAAGATAAAGACCAGATAAATCAGATTTCTCATCCAAGTTCAAAAAAGTGTCCGATTTCTTAATTGATATCTTTATTAATTGGAATAGGTACTAGCTAATAAAACTATAATTTTTTCAATAACATATCGGCTACTTTTTACTTTAGATGTAGTAAAGAAAGAAAGTTTTTAAATATAATATATATTTAACTTACATTGTGGTTGGTGAGAAGCCTTTGATTTAACTGCAAGTTTGTTCACTTCAACCCGCTAACTCAAAATTTAAACAAGGTAAAACAAAATTCGGACCAAAAATATCAGATAATCAACCTGCCAATTCAGAAGAACATATTTTTCACGTTCTGTTGTTCTGCTACTGTTATTGAGCCTGCTGGAAAAGTTTGAGAACCACTAACCTATGAGTTTATCTGGAAAACACGATGAAGCTGGAATTTTTTTCACATTATTCTGCAAAGTGATTTCTGTCTCTGAGATGATGAATAAATACACCTCCCCTTCTAGCAGCTGAGTTTCATACAGCAGTGCAATGGAAATGAAAAGCATGCGTCAAAGCAAGTGAGAGCAAAAAGCACAGAAGCATTTGGAGAAATTAACAGACTTTCATGCAAAAGGAAAAAGAAGGTGTTCAAGCTTGCAGAAAGTACTTTGGACCAATAAAAACATTGGCTCACACTCCAACAGATGTCACAATACCGTCTACAAGATCCATGCTTAAGACAACGTGTAGCCTTGGGAAACTTAGGTCATGCTGTGAGAATCTGCAGCGGATCTACGAAGTCCTGGCATTTAAACGAGCCTCAAGAAATATGAGTCAGGAAAAACTTTACGGCAATATTCCTCTGAGCTTCAGTATCCGTCACTGCATGCGCTCCAAACTCCTCGGACCTCTTCAGACCTATGACTACCTTCTGAATGAGGATTTCAGTGCCTTACCTTGAGTTTCTAACAGGGAGACACATGTGAAACTGGGAGTGATAATCAGGCTGAACTGGTTCCCACCTCTGCAACTTAAAGTCTTCCCACCCCCATTTAACACCAGCTCTGCAGCCTTTGTGCTCCCAGTTCCCAGCAGACCAATGGGACCCTGACAAAACCCTGGCCCACAAAAGGAACTGGTTTCCTTGGTAACTTCTAGCAATGAGTGGAAAAAAAAATCAAAGGGGGACCATTTACAGCTGATTTGTTTCGAGGAGGGTCTGAGAGGAAGGACAAGCATAGTTAGGAGGGGGGGAAGAGGAAGAGAGTGGACATGGGAGGAAACAGAATAGGAAATCAAAAGAAATTGCACTGGTTTGTCTCTATCCACCAGAATCTACCAGTTTTGGTAAAACAAACAGCTCAAAGGTTGTCAGCTGCTGCAGTGAGGAGACCGCAGCACAGGAGGACCATGGGTAATCACAGACACAAGCTCCCAAAAGTCAACCCTCTCATTAGAGCAGGGTGACTGTAAATGTGGTCCACACACACATTCCTCACATACTTCAACCTAAAACTTCACAGGAACAGCAAAAGCCAGTTTGATGAAACTTAACATAAATGTCTCCTTTTCTTATGACCTCATTATCCCCACAGGGAGGAGGGGGAGGATACTAAGAATGCCAGAAAACGCAGAAAGGACATGCATCCAAAAAGAAATTCATTATGTAAATCAGACAGAGGCAAACAAAAGAAGGTCAGGTGGAGAAAAAGTGTTAGAGGAAGGAGTCAGGAGCCAGGAGGAAGGGGAGGACCGGTACCTTTCTGCTCCAGGGAGAGAGGCGGCAACATTCGGTGGGGGAAGAGGAGCGGGTTTTGTCGAACTAAATTACACGGTGAAGAAAACAACAAATAAAAAAATACATAGAAACAAAAATGACACAGTGAAGGGGAAAATATCAAGCATGAACACAGTGCTGACACAAGGTAAATAAATATGGGGGGGGGGGGGTAAGGCTTGGTGTGGATGGAACAGAAACCTTGGATGCACTGATGAAAACAAATCTGCAGCCATCCATTCCCTGCACAAACACATGATACACAGTCTGCTTTCATCTTTACCTGTGTTTGTGTTAACTGAGTGGCTGCATCTCTAAATTGTCTCTCTGGCAGCTTTGAGAGGGAAAAAATAAACTGCAATGTCACTTTAAAGGAGCGATATTTAAAAAATGCTAAAGTCACATTTAAACCAACAATCCTGCTTCCAGACAGAGGAATTTCAACATACTAGCTTATATGTACGGTGGCCCTGAAGTGCAAACTGCAACTACAAATCTAAAAGCGCAACTACATTAAGAAAAACAAAACTACATTAATCTACCGGAAAAGGTAGGTACCAGTGGGAAACATGAGACATCGCTGATTGGACAACGGCGCCGTTTGACCCTTGAACCGGAACTCATTCTGCCTGCTGCGGCTTTTGAAAACATGGATACTAACTGAAATTTCGTGATTAGTCGCGAGCATATCCAGTATCACCTCGTACTTATGTCCTTATTCAAAATATTCCTGGATAACGGCAGCTATGTTTGGGGCGCCGACAATATCCATGTTTTCAAAAGCCGTAGCAGGCAGAATGACTTCCGGTTCAAGGGTCAAACGGCGCTGTCGTCCAATCAGCGATGTCTCATATTTCCGTCTGGTACCTACCTTTTCCGGTAGGTTAATGTAATTGTGTTTTCCTTAATGTAGTTGCGCTTTGCTTTATGTAGTTTTGTTTTTCTTAATGTAGTGACGCTTTTAGATTTGTAGTTGCAGTTTGCACTTCAGGGCCACCGTATATATGCCAGTGGGGCGTGCTTGCTCAGTTATAACTGTAATTAATGTAACTCATTAGTAATTCTTTATGTAGTGACTCTATATTTTATTTGGTTTAGATGCAGTAAGTAACTATTTTTACAACAATAGAAAATACAACGTTCTTTTTTTTATACATGAATTGTAAAAAGTGCAACCTGTGTTTGTAATAAGAGCTTATGAGTCAAAACTGCAAGACCAGTTTTTGCTGTATTTATAGCTGAGAGCCAATCAGATTATGTTCTTTAAATTTGCACTTCTATAGTAAATTGCCATTCTAGAGCATTAAATTGTCTACTTTTATCTCCTTGAACCCCAGTCGGCCTCAGCAGATGGCCGCTCACACTGAGTCTGGTTCTGTTGGAGGTTTTTTCCTGTTAAAATTGAGTTTTCCTCTCCACTGTCGCTACACGCATGCTTGGTGTGAAGGATTGCTGAAGAGTCAATGAATCAATGCGATCAACTTTGAATCAATCTGACTGTATGATCTGGTTGAATCATTACGCGCCTAGAGATGATGTGTTGTGAATTGGTGCTATATAAATAAACTGAATTTAATATTTAGTTAATAACATAATTGAGTTTTATTGTAGCTCAGGGTTTGTATTTTTTTCAGAAGGTGAACCTCCAGCCTCCAGGGTAGTCTTTAGTCAAATCTATTGCTCCTCTGTTGTTTTTAGTTTTTGTCAGGGTTCTTTAGTTTCTAGCCGTTTGCAGCTTTCCTTCCACTCTGAGCAGCTTTACTGTCTCCTGGTGAGGAAGCTTATTCCCAGTTCATGGTGTTGCTTCCGCAATGTTTTGCAGTGGGACACGTTTTTTCCCATGCAAGAAAACAAGTCTGGGACTCTTGTCTGTCTGCATCAGAGCTATGGATCTCTAGAGCTCATCCAGAGTAACCATGGGCCGCTTTCTATTTAACTTTCTATTTACACAATGTGCTTTGCTGATTCAGACTTGTAAAAAATTTTTTTTTACTTCTCAGTTACGTACTACTTTCTGTTGGTTGGTCCAGCTCTCTAAATCTTAATGTGACTAATGTGAACTTAGAGGTCATGACATTCAGAGTGCAAAGAAAGAGCTACATCTTTACCAGGAAGATGTTTTTATGGCCCAAAGGCTAAAATGTAATACCTTGAGTGTTTAGATATATATATATATATATCGACTAGCAGGATTTTCAATAAAACAAATTCATGTACTGATTTTTGTTCATGCAGACTAACCTTTCAAACCCGAAAGTGATAATATTTAAAATATAATGGTAGTCTCACCGTAGTTACACCTTTGCCCCGATGGTCTTGTTTTGGCTCGATGATAGGGGAGGGGTACATGGGCATCGGGGGCAGCGCTGAGATGTTTCCTCTGTGCTCCCTCCTTGGGTGATCTGAAAACACCCACATTTTAAAGACAAGGCACAAAAAACACACACATGAAAAAAAGGAGGAGGTATAATTTCTGGCAAAATCTCTTAGTGTGCACTGGAGTGCAATGTCCACTAGAGGGCAGAATAACACTAGAATCATAGATGCTTGAAAGCTAGATTACTTGAGAAAAGAGATTTTTACCAAAGATTAGCCTCAAATTAAAGTCAAACACAAGAGTTGATAATGTGGAGTAAAATACACCTTTAGCAAAAAAAACAAAAACAAAACAATAAGCATTTAAATTAAAATATGCAAGAAATTAGCTGAAAAAAAGGAGTTAGACTTAGAGACTTAGACTTGACTTTATTAATCCCTTGGGATTACTCCCTTCGGGAAATTGTATTTCCAGTAGCAGGAAAAATTGCACATACAAGAAAAAAGAGGATGTTTAGACACAGTATATACAATAGAAAAAATAGAATCAATTAAATAAGGTGTAGGAAGATGTATTGGGGGATAAGGATAGACAAATAAATACAGAGGGCTATAGCAAAAACAATGACTTAAATTAACAGTTATGTAGTGTAAAAAACAGTAGAAGAAAAAGGGGTTAAATAGGTTAAAAAGGTTAAAAAAAGTTTAAGAACTGGAGAGCTACTGGAGAGGCAGCCGTCTCCCACAGCGCCATCAACGGAAAAAAGTTGACATGAAACGTTAAATGTGCATGAATTAGCTGCACATCAGTTAATAATTAAAGATGACATATAACTGTAAAGTGAGCTTTAAAGTGAACTGTAAAGCGCCTTGATATGACATGTGTTGTGAATTGGCACTATATAAATAAACATAATTGAATTGAATTGTATTAAACCTGAAATGAGCAATGGGCATACGATTACCATCAATAATAGTGCCAACATGCAAAGAAATGGGAGTGTGGTGGGTATTCAAATCTGGACTGGAGGGAGTTGTGGCTCACCTTGGTTCAGCGACCACAGGCTGTGGTTGGCCTGCCTGTGCAGCTCCTCTACGCATGCTGGCCGTGTGGAGGGGAGCAAAACATTCCTCTGGAGACGCCACGGAGCTCGGAAATGTGCCGTCAGCTTACTCTCCACATCCAGGTTGGACACCGCTGCAGGAGAAACATGCACAATTGAGGCCTCATGTTGTTTTTTGTGTGTGCATTAAATATAAGAGGCATTGGAAGAAAATCAGTTTAGATATAAACAGGTAAATTCCCCTGACCCCTGACCCTGACTTACTTCCCAGCTGAGGAAGTTGCTTCCCATGCAAAAAAAAAAAAAAAAAATCCTAATTTGTCTGTATGGGAATACAAAGATGATTGTTTTGGTATTCCAGGAGATTAAATGGGATTGCAATGAACTTTGAAATCAGACCAGGACACTGAGCTCTTAGGTAAACACTGACTATTTACTAAACCAACAGTATCTATCACCTGAAGCCAAACAACTGGTCTTAATGCAATCCGATAGCATGACTTTTCCCCCCACAAACATTGACCAATACCTGGTGTATGGCCACTACTCCCCCCCCACACACACCTCTTCAGGTTACAGAGCTCACATTACGTCTGATCCAAGGAGGTGCTGCATGAAAGGCAGCAGTTTGACAGCAGCAGTTTGTAACGCACTCAGAGGTGATTCGCAAAAGAGATGCATTAATGTCTTAAATTATCTGCATGCATCATTAATAGTGCATGGAAATGCTAAAGGATCCAAGATACTTTATATGAAACTGAAATTGAGTTTTCTCCAAATAAAAAAGCACCTGAATCTTAAGTAATAAACAATCAGCTTTTACAAAGAAAGCAACTTATGTATCTAATAAATGAAGCATTTTAAAATCTTTGCTGTGAGATTCCCTCTCACTTGTCTATGAAGAAAAACCTCCGGTCTGACTCAACATGCTCCAAGTTTCCTTTGTAGTGCAGCCAGAAGCTAACTTTTTAGTCTCTTTCAGTAAAGAAAGACATAGCTCACCCCAGATTGCAGCTACCAGAGGTCACGGCAACCTGTTTAACGTCAGACTGTGGCAGCGGATCCAGCTGCTGCATCTGCAGGACGATTTGCTTTGTATTTGAGGCTATCAGAGAAAGCCTGATGGTTTCCATGCAACGGCCCCAGGATGACCTGAAAGCCGTGACCCTGTGTCTCCTGTTCACCACCAGAGAGACTCAACACTCCGACGATGGCTGATCACCACAATCTACTAAGATATTTAACTTTGAACAAATTGGTGTAAATCAAGCAAGAAAGTAGAAAGAAATATATACTTTTTAATTTTTGTCTTTAATCTCTCTTTTTTAAAGTACCTGAAGGATAAATGAAGATCATCAGGCATCTAAAGCATTTAGAAAAAAACATCTGAATTTTTGTAGAAAAAAGTTTTGGGGCTTAAATATCCTGGATATTTTTTTGGACCCTCTATCTATTGTTTTTTTAATCAGAATTAATATTCCAGTCATTAAGAACTATATATACATAACATATTATTTATGTTTTACTTCAAATAAAACTGTATCTTTGTTCAATTAGTTTATAATATTACATA